TCCATTGGTCCTGCTGAGTGTTGAGGGTGGGGATGAGGTTGTCCCACGAGTTGTCGAGCACCGAGATGATCTTGGTGCACTGTTGCATCTGCGACACTTTGCTGCCCGCCGCTGCCATCCTCGCATAGGTGTCCTTGATCTTGTCAAGGACCGGCTTCACATCATCCCCCAGTCGCATGGAGAGGGCAGCCAGCTCCTTCTCGAACACAATCACCATCAGCAGCGTGTTGGGCTGAAATACGTCGCGTAGTAGCTTCCACGCCTTTGGTCCGGAATCATCCAACTCCACCAAATCCTTGCCGTGCTGGAACATGTCGTTGTTGAACGATTGTAGAATGAGGTCGCACAACGCCGCGCTCCTCTCAGTCCATCGATCACGTGCCTCTCCTTCCTCAGGTATTTTGTCTTCTCCCATTGCAAGTTTCAGCAGCTTGTAGCGCTTGAAGGCGCTCCTCATCCGCCCGCTCCATTCCTCATAATTGGAGCCATCCAACGCCTCAATCTTGGATGGTGGCGGCTCACTCCTCTTCTCAGCTGCATCTCCACTCCCTTGACTCATCTTCTCTTCACCCAATCACAAATTTCAGCTCCTCTCTTGCTGTCCACAACGAAGTCCTACAATATTTTCACAAGTGTCGGCGCCAACGAAATTTCGGCAGAGTTTCCCCTTAGCGGAAGTCACACCCAACCTCTAGAACTCCACTTAGGAACGCCCATAGGCCATGGTGGGTCTAGGAGGGTTTTCACACCTCAGTACACTCTTCACAAAGTCCTCAATCTGCTCGGATACCACTTGTTAGAGATTAAGGACGGAGTCTAGGAAGATTATGGTGCCGAAATAACTCAAAATCGTCAACTAAGTTTCTGGACAGAAATGTCGACTTCACAAGAAACGCCGTCGATGAAACACGCACTGTTAAAACTTCACCGATTTCTAATATGTTGTAGCTCTAGAACGTAGCTACTGTCAAACTTATATGCTATAGTCTGTTTAGGCTGTAGTGGGGTAGCTCATATGGGGTACAGCACATTTAGGGTTTCCCTACTTGTATCAACATTGCTGCTAGTTTCAATCATTCCTCATTCTATCTTTCACATGGTTTCAGAGCAGGTTCCCTAGTGGGAACGTTTTTTTTTAAGGGCCCACCACGATCATTTTTTTTTTTTTTTTTCCCTGCCCTGCCTGAAGCGCGCCTCGCGCCTGCCTCACCTGCGCCGTCGCGCGCCCTGCCCTACTGCCGCCCGTAGCGGCCCTGCCCTCTCGGCCCGTCGCGGCCCTGCCATAACGGCCCGTCGCGGCCCTGACCTCGCCGCCCGTCGCGGCCCTGCCCTCAGCCGCTTGTCGCGGCCCTGCTCTACCGCCGCCCCGTCGCGGCCCTGCCCTGCTGCCACCCCATCGCGGCCCTGCTCTGTCGCCGCCTCGTCGCGGCCCTGCCCTACAGCCACCCCGTTGCGGCCCTGACCTAACCGCCCATCGCGGCCCTGCCCTGCACCCGCCCCTGGTAAGCGCCCCTGCTGCCCGTCGCGTCGCGCGCCCCTGCTGCTCGCCGCGCCGTGCGCCCCTGCAGCCCGTCCCGTCACGCGCCCCTACAGCCCGTCGCGTCGCGCGCCCCTGCAGCCCGTCGCGTCGCCCGTCGGCCCTGCCCGTGCCAGTCGCGTCGCCAGAGCGGGCTGCCCTAGCCCGCCGCGACGCCCATCCGCCCTGCCTGCCTGCGTGCCGCCCCTGCCCGCCCCGCGTCGCGCCGCCCCGTGCAAGCCGCCCGCGCGCAGACCCTTGCAGCCCGCGCGCCGCCCGTCTGCAGCCCGCGAGACTCCCCTGCAGCCCGCGAACCGCCCCTGCAGCCAGCGCGCCTGCCTCTTGCAGCCAGCGCACTGCCCCTGCAGCCCGCGAGCCACCCCTGCAGCCCGCGAGCCGCCTCTGCAGCGCCCAGTGCGCCCTGCCAAACCCTAAAATAAATAATAATAAAAAAAAGCTGCTGCCCTAGGAGCTACTGCTTGCTGCTGCCTGCTACTGCCCTGCTCTGGCCGCACGCCGCCCTTCTGGCCGCGCGCCGCCTTTTCCTGACAGTGCGCCGCCTCGACCTACCCTAGTGCCTGTTCGCCGCCCTGCCTTTTCACTATGACGTCTCTTCGAGGTAGCAGTGGGAGTGGTGGCGGCGGTGGTGGCAGCAGTGGGAGTGGTGGCGGTGGCCGCAGTGGCAGTCTAGGCGGAGCTGCTCGGTGGGGAGTTTCTGGCGGTGGCCAGATACAGCTCCAGCGACGTCCGCGCGAGACCCTTACGCCCCTGCAGCTGCATGAGTGGTACGCTCAGAGTTGAGGGTCTCGGAGTACTGCTCGCTGCCCGTACGTCATTCGCACAGGTGATCGGGCTGGTCAGATTTGCGGGACGATAGGTCACACACAGTCCCGTTGCTTCGCCGGTCTGAGCGACGCCTGGCGTACAGAGTTTGGTGACGCGGCTGAGCTCCCCAGCTGGGTGGAGCTGCTGAGGCAGAGACTGGATATCTTTGCTCTGGACTTTGATGCTATTCTATTTGCCATGTATGCATTGCCTGTTAGTGCTAAGGGTGACTGTTACCTGTGTACGCCGCCGGACCCAGGTATAGAGTCTGCTGCTCTAGGTGCTGGTGAGGCTGCTGCTCTAGGTGCTAGTGAGGCTGCTGCTATAGGTGCTAGTGAGTCTGCTGCTCCAGGTGCTGGTGAGTCTACTCTCTCTGGTACTGCGCCTGCTGAGGCCTTGCACACCTTCACACTTGACTCAGGTGCTTCCCGCTCCTTCTTTCGCGACAGCACCACACTCACGCCGCTCAGTCGGCCGGTTACAGTCTCCCTGGCGGACCCCTCTGGGGGCCCGGTCCTTGCGCACTCCTCCACGGTTCTGCCGTGTCCGGCAGTTCCGTCTGGCTCACTGTCAGGTCTTCACCTCCCCTCGTTCTCTACGAACTTGGTGAGTGGAGCTGACCTCCAGGATGTGTGGGTTGACCAGTTCACTCCTGGAGGTCAGCGTGTGACCCACTGTACGTGCTCCCGGACTGGTCGGCACCTGGCCACGTTCACCCGAGCGCGTGGCTCGAGTCTGTACACACTGACCACTGTGTCCCCTCAGGTAGCTGCGTCTGCGTCCGCGTTTGCGTCAGGTCAGCTAGCGGCCCCCTGCTCGTGTCGCGCTCTGTCGCACCAGACCGTCCTTTGGCACCACCGTCTTGGTCACCCCTCGGTGCAGCGCCTTCGTGGCATGCACCGACGTTTCCTTGTCTCTGGACTTCCAGAGACTCTGCCTCCTCTACCACCCTCGCCTGCCCCTCCCTGCCTTCCCTGTGTCGAGGGGCGGCAGCGCGCCGCTCCTCACTCCTCCTCGTTTCCCCCGACGACTGCTCCCCTGCAGACCCTCCACATGGACGTGTGGGGCCCAGCCCGCGTCCGTGGACAGGACCGCGAGCGGTACTTTTTGCTGGTCGTTGACGACTACACGCGTTACACCACGGTCTTCCCCTTGCGCACCAAGGGTGAGGTCCCTGATGTTTTGATCCCTTGGATCCACGCTGTCCGTCTCCAGCTCCGCGAGCAGTTCGAGACGGACCTTCCTGTCCTGCGTCTGCACTCTGACAGAGGTGGTGAGTTTGCCTCTGACTTTCTACGGGACTTTTGTCGTGGGGAGGGCATTCGCCAGACTTTTACGCTTCCGGCCTCACCGCAGCAGAATGGGGTTGCTGAGCGCCGCATTGGCTTAGTCATGGAGGTCGCTCGTACCTCCATGGTCCATGCGGCTGCCCCCCATTTTCTGTGGCCGTTTGCGGTCCGATACGCTGCGCATCAGCTCAACCTCTGGCCCCGTGTCTCCTTGCCGGAGACCTCGCCCACACTGCGGTGGACGGGGAAGGTTGGCGATGCGTCGGTGGACGGGGAAGGTTAACAAAACAGGAAAGATATATGCAAGGCTAACCCTAACCCTAGCACAGCGGAATACACCTAGACTAGAACTAACAAAACTATATAAATATAGTTTGACACACCCCCATAGTCTAGGTGACGGCAGTCCTGTGAGAAGCAGCACATATCTCAGGGTGGATCTCAAGGACACCACACAGTCTGAGAGCAAGGGTCACATGACAAGTCAGCAAGAACACGCAACGGTCACAAGACCAGTCCACAAGAGCAAAACAAATCTCAAGATCACCATGCAGTCCGAGAAAAAGTAAGAGGCCACAAGGTCAGTCCACATGCAAGTATAAGAGATGCAAGATTACAAGACAAGCAAGATAAGCATCCCTAGGTAAGCAAGGGGGCACAAGGCCAGTAAACAAGCAGAGATATAGCAAATATAGTGAGATGCAAGAGTACAAGACAAAGCTTCTCTACGCAAGCAAGTGACGGCCCCCAGATACAAGGCCTAGCTGGGTGCAGAAACGCTGGTGGGCACAAGGCGGCAACTCCTTGGTGAAGATATCTGCAGTGTTGGCCTCAGATACCACACGTACTACGCGGGCCTGTCCACGCTGCTGCAACTCACGCAGAAGGAAGTAACGAAGCAGGATGTGCTTCGCCTTCCCAACCAGTCGGGGCTCCTCGCACAACAGGACAGCAGACCTGTTGTTGGTGAACAAGACTGGGGGAGAGCGAGGCCGCTCACCAAGGTCGGTGAGGAGGAAAGACAGCCAGCGAAGCTCCTGGGTGGCTATGGCCGTAGCGTACACCTCTGCCTCACAGCTGGAACTGGAGACTGACGACGCCCGAGCCGACCTCCACGAAACAGCTCCGGTCCCAAGACTGAAGCAGTAACCCTGTGTAGACCGCAGCGACTCTGCGTCGTCGGCCCACGACGAGTCTGAGTAACCTGTAAGTGTAACTGGCTGCTTCCCTCCAAGGACAAGTCCCATGCCTGATGTACTCGCCACATACTTCGCCACCCTCTTAGCCACGTACCAGTGGGAAGGTCGGTGTCTCCCACGCGCAACAAAGCGCGCCAGGACGCTAAGAGATGAATATTGGGTCCACTCATCTCATTGTGAGAAGGGTATCGTGTCGACTAAGAAACACACCTTGTTGAGGTGGTTGATAATCTGTGCATGGGTCTTATTCCGCGCAAGCTGGTTTTGCACCCATATCACCGTGGCCTCGCACAGCGAGCACTTGGGATCGCCCACTCGCCCACCGTTGCTGCTGCTGCTCGCCTTGTCACCGGCGGCATCTGCCACGTCAGCGTGGTCCGGCATCTGGATGACTGGGTCCTCCTGCCACCCGAGCAGGCGGCGGCTCATGCTGGCAGGAGGGAGAGGGGGAGGACAGTTCGGGGAGGGAGGAGAAGGGGAAAGAGGGGAAGAGACAGAGAGGGAAAGGAAAAAGAGGGGAGGAGGCGGACAGGGACAGAGACAGGGAAGGAGGGGAAGGGAAGGAGAGGGAAAAGGGTGGAGAGAAAGGGTGGGGAGGGGGCATCAAAGGAGAAAGAGATGTGTGCGGTAGATGAGTGAAGAGGTGAACGGATGCGAGAGGAAGGTAGTACGTGAGGAGAGGGAATATGAGGTGGACGGGAGAGTGGTCACCTGGGCGTGGGGGTGGTGTGAGCGGTGGTTGCAGCCATGTCGTCACACAGGCCGATGGCATGGCACACAAGATTTGGATCCATCTGATGATGTGGTGGTGGTTTGGGGAGGAGGGGGAGGGGGAGGGAGAAAGGTTGGCTGGTGGAGCTGCTTGCAAGAGTTGGAATGGATACTTGCAAGAGCTGCTTTCACGCTTTCTGCGCACTTGAAATTTCGCATCTTCTGCTTTAGTAACGGAAAATCATGATGCTTGCCCTCATGCCACGCACCTTCTTCTCCAGCAGGTTAATGATGATGACGGCATAGTCGTGCACCAGCTGCTTGCACGCCTTTGAGGCCGATGCTTGCCCTCGTAACTTACACCTTCTCACACGCACCTTCTGCTCCAGCAGGTCAATGATGATGACAGCATAGTCATGCACCAGCTGCTTGCACGCCTCGCTCAGCACGCCCTTGGCTCCGATGGCCGCGTTGATCTCCGCTATCACCGCCTGGTGCACGATGCGAGGAATAGCAGCGCTCAAGGGATAAGAACGGTTGAAGACACTCCAACTGGAAGTGGAATTGAAACGTGAGGAGTCTAAAAAAATAGATGGAATGAAGGGTTTACGGTTTATCATGCACGGAATGCTGGTGTCTGGCAGTGGGAGGAAGTGGAGACGGGATATGCAAGGATATAGATTGGGGCATGAAATAGCAGGGGGAGAGGGTAGGTGAATGGGTGGGAGAAATGAAGACCCCGTGCAAAAGTGGGTGGAAGGGTTGGGAGGGGAAGCGAGGGGGAAGTGGGGGGAAGGGGACGAGAGGGGACAAGTGGGGAGGGGGTGAGTGGCGAGAAGGTTGGCGATGCACGGATGGGCGACGAGAGGCGATGCCACAACTGCGGTCAGCCAGGGCATCTTCGGAGGGACTGTGGCAATCCACCCGCTTGTTCCACGTGCGGGAGTGAAGACACATGAGGACGGACTGCCCCAACGCGCCGACGTGCGAGCGATGCGGAAGGAAGGGACACTTGGAGAAGGACTGTTACGCGACGGGGAGGGAGGGACGCGCCAAGAGGGACCCGGAGAGCATGAGGGCACAGATTGCGCGCCTGCAACGACAGTTGGAGGAAGCCGAAGGGCAAGACGCGAAGGGAACCGCGATGCTGGCTAAATGGGAGGAGGAAGATGATGATGGCAGTGAAACCAGATTCGCTTTGATGGCTCGCCCGGCGCGGGAGAGGGATGAACTGGGTTTGCGGGCACGGCACCGTTACTTCCCGCAGGAGCAGCCAACGCAGGAGCGGGGACCGCGGCGAGACACATCGGAGGAACGTCCCCAAGGGGCGGCGCGGCGACATCCCCTGGAAAGGATGGCCTGCCAACCGTCAGTGCTGGTGGTGGAACGGGGAGTTATGACACTGGGCGTTACATACAGATATGGTTAGTACAATAAAAAAGTGCGTTACCTATCAATATGGTTGGTACTAAGTGCAAGTGCGTTACTTATCCATGTGGTTGGTACTAAGTTTAAGAGCGTGATGGACCTATGTGGTTGATACTAAGAGTAAAAGCGTTACTTACCCATGTGGTTGGTACTAAGAGAAAGTGCGTTATTTGCCCATATGGTTGGTACTCAGAGAACGTCCGTTAAGTACCCATGCGGTTGGTACTAAGAGTAGGTGTGGTGCGTACCGATGTAGTTGTTACTAGTAATTTTGTTACTACCACATGGTTGGTACTAAGAGTAAGTGCATTAATTACCCATATGGTTGGTACTTAGAGTAAGTACGCAATTTAGCCATGTAGTTGGTACTAAGAGAAAGTGCGTTACTTACCCATGTGGTTGGTACTAAGAGTAAGTGCATTAGTTTACCATGTGGTTGGTACTAGGCGTAATTGCGTTACCTACCTGTGTGGTTGGAACTAAGAGAAAGTACGTTACTTACCAATGTGGTTGGTACTAAGAGTAAGTGCGTTACTTAGCCATGTGGTTGGTACTTGGAGTAAGTGGGTTACTTAACCATGTGGTTGGTACTAAGAGTAAGTGCGTTACTTACCCATGTGGTTGGTACTAGGAGTAAGTGCGTGACTTAGCCATGTGGTTGGTACTAAAAGTAAGTGCATTACTTACCCATGTGGTTGGTACTAAAAGTAAGTGCGTTAGTTATGCGTATGGTTGGTACTAAGAGTAAGGGCGTTACTTAGCGATGTGGTTGGTACTAAGTGAAAGTGCGTTACTTACCCATGTGGTTGGTTCTAAACGTAAGTGCGTTACTTACCCATGTGGTTGGTACTAAGCGTAACTGTGGTACTTACCCATGTGATAGGTACTAAGAGTATGTGCGTTACGTAACCATGTGGTTGGTACTACGAGTAAGTGCGTTACCTAGCCATGTGGTTGGTACTAAGAGTAAGTGCGTTACTTAGCCATCTGGTTGGTACTAAGAGTAAGTGCGTTACTTATCCATGTGGTCGGTACTAAGAGTAATTGCGTTACTTACCGATATGGTTGGTACTAAGAATAAGTGCGTTACTTACCTATGTGGTTGGTACTAAGAGTAAGTGCGTTACTTACCCGTATGGTTGGTACTAGGAGTAAGTGCATTACTTAGCCATGTGGTTGATACTAAGTGAAAGTGCGTTACTTCCCCATGTGGTTGGTACTAAGTCTAAATGTGGTACTTGCCCATGTGGTTGGTACTGTCAACGGGAGTTGTTGTTGGCCCCGTCCTCGCTTGGGCGGAGCCGACTTCGTGGTCGGATGTGATGAGTGCAGCCGACCTGCAGCAGTAGGGGAGCTGATCGACGGGTCTGGTCGACCTGCACGGGGGCCACTGCAAGGGCGCCGACTTTGGGAGGGCGCCAACTTAGGCTGGTCGACTTGGGAGGTCGACTAGTGGAGGGCGTCAACTTGGGTGATGCTGACCAGGGGAAGCTGACTGGGTGTAGTCAGTTGACAGGTGTGCTGGTCGACCTGGATTTGGTCGACCAGGTGGGTTGTCGACCTGGAGCTGGTTGACCAAGGGTGTGGTCGACCTGCTGTGGTCGACTGAAGGTGGTTGTCGACTTGGGAGGTCGACGGACACATGAGAAAGCAGCTGGTCGACGTGGTGGTTGCCCGGTCGACCAGGTTACCTGGGTGACGAGGTTCTGCGGGGGAGTGCGACGGTTGCCCACATGGTAGTGGCAAGACCGACCTTGGTGGTGGTATCCCGAGGTCGACGTGGCTGGTGGGCGCAGTCGCTGGCGTGGAGTCGAGCTGGGCGTCTGCGCTGTGCACGTGACAAGGAAAGTGCACCAACCAGCTGCATGCACCTGCGAAGCAGGTGCACCGTTGTTCTGCGGATGCAACGCTGTGCAGCCGACCTGCTGCAGCGTAGGCACACCGTGGACTTGCAACGTTGGCAAGCCACGACTTTGCTCTGCTGGAGCGCGGTCGACCAAGTCGTGCTGGCACGCGGTCGACCGTGCTGCGCTGGAAGTCGACCAGCAACTTTGCTAGGTCTGATGTAGTCTTGCATGCCAATGTTGTTGCTATCATTGTTCTCAACTTTTGCTAGTAAAACTCTTTCAGTTTTGCCCTGTGAACGCACAAGTGCTAGAGAACGACTAAGTGAACGAACGCAGAGATCCCTCCTACCCCGTGCCTAGCCCGTAGTCTAGCTCCCGTTGATAGAGTTATCTGTCAGAATCGTAGGCATAACGAGGAGCCATAGCTAGGGTTTAGCTAGCTAGGCAAGAGAAAATAAGCAAAGGAGGAGGTTCACTAGCAAGCTGGTGGATACATATAGGAAACCCTAAGGGGTCGTACTCACTACAGAGTACCCCACTACAGGCTAGACAAACTACACATTCTGACACACCCCCATAGTCAAAGTGGGGTATAATCAGCAGAGCAAGCAGTCATAGAGCAGGTTCACAAGTGCAAGCAAAGCTAGAGGCATTCACAACGGGCACGTGAGGAGGAGGAGGCTGGACTGTGAGAGGAGAGGAGATAGGAGGCGACGGCTGAAGCTGCAGACATACGGGCAACAGGAGCGGCGCGCACAGTGGCTACCGGCGGCAGAGCCTCGGACTACAGGAGTAACTGGCTCTGCGGCTAACTCTGAGTGGCAGGAGCAACGGACCCACGGGCGACATGCGCAGCAGGTTCTCTGGGCTACCAGCGGCAGAGCCCCGGACTACAGGTGCTGCGGACGACAAGACGGCAGCCTCCGCTCAACCTCCCCCAACTGTCCCACCCCCCTTTTCACGCACCCCTTGCTGCACCCATAGCTCCACTCCCACGTCACCCCCCTAGCACCACTCCTTCGGCTCCCACACACCCACCCCCCTCAGTGACATCTGCAGCAGTGGGAGACGGAGGAGGAGGAGGAGCAGGGGACGGCGTACACACCCGTCACCCCCATACCCGCCACCCCCACACTCGCCACCCCCAAACCCTAAAACGGGCAGCACGGGGCAGGAGCGCGGGCAGCAGCGCAGGGGACGGCGCGCGGCCCCTAGGGCACCACGACGGGCGACGGGATGGGGGGGACGCGCGGCCCCCGGGGCGCCTCGACGGGCGACGGGATGGGGGGGACGCGCGGCCCCCATGGCGCCGCGACGGGACGACGCGAACGGGGGGGGGGGGGGACGCGCGGCCCCCGGGGCGCCTCGATGGGCAATGGGATGGGGGGGACGCGCTGCCCCCGTGGCGCCGCGACGAGACGACGGGAAGGGGGGGGACGCGCGGCCCCTGGGGCGCCTCGACGGGCGACGGGATGGGGGGTGACGCACGGCCCCCGTGACGCCACGACGGGCGACGGGAGAGGGCGCCGCGGGGGCCCCCCGGGGCACCGCGACGGGCGACGGGAGAGGGCGCCGCGACGGGCGACAGGAGAGGGCGCCACGACTGGCGACAGGAGAGGGCGCCACGACGGGCGACGAAACCGCCGCGCGCGCCCGGGGCGCACGGCAGGCAGAAAACCGCCGCGCGCTTGTGGCGCGCGGCGGGATGAAAAAGTGTCGCGCGCCCGGGGCGCTCGACCAGCAGAACAGTAGCAGCGGAAGCAGTAGGCGGGCCCACAGGCCAAGAGCGTAACAGCTCTGATTCCATGTCAAGATAGTAGCATAAGTGGGGTCTAGGTTTAAGTGAGGGCCTAGGCTTAGTAGCCTAGGCTGAGGGGAGTCGAGAGAGTTGTGACAAGGAGGAGTCGAGAATGATGGAGTTTGACTATAGCACGAGGGTACATATAGCAAACAAATGAAGAGGTGCACCACCTACAAAGTTAATAACTACACTACGGCTAGAACTATATGCAGTTATAACAACATAATTCTGACATCCCCCCGTAACTGCATGCAGGAATAGCCAAGTGCAAGACACAACCTGCAGGGGTACATCACAGATAGAGAAAATAGCACCAGCAGGCAAGAGCAGATGCAAGTTCACAAATAACAGCAAAGAGAGGCAAGAGGCGGAACTAGAGAGGCAGTCGGGAGGAGGGACTACATGAGGAGAAGCTGCTGGCAGGTGAAGCTGCTGGCTCCGAGGCGGCTGCTTCCTGGGACCTCCCCCAGTCCTCCAAATCCCCCCTCCACACTCCTCCACAACCCTAGCCCCTCTCCCCCAGCTCCCCCACACCCTCACACCCTCCCCCCCCCAGCGGCAGCTGCAGCAGTGGGAGAGAAAGGAGGAGGAGGGGAAGGGGATCACACACACCCATCACCCCCATACCCGCCTCCTCCAACAGCGCAGAGCAGGGCAGGGCAGCCGCGTGTGGAGGGCAACAGCGCGGACCAGGGCAGGGCAGCCGCGCGGAGCACGGCAGGCAGCCGCGCGTGCAGGGAAACAGCGCGGAGCAGGGCAGGCAGCCGCAGGTGGAGGGCAACAGCGCGGAGCAGGGCAGGGCAGCCGCGCGTGCAGGGCAACA